GTGGCTCTGTGTTTGGGCAGGTCACGACTGAGCACCAGATTGCTCACCTTTAAAACGCTCCACAGATACATCCTGAATGCCTTGTGTGCCAGGCAAAGACAATCATAGTGCTGCGTGACGTATCTTTAAAAAATACTCGTCTCACAGGATTTTTGAAAGAATTACATAAAGTTCATGAGAACATTTTATCAAATGTAAAGCAAATAAACAAACCCTTCTTCTTTCTGAGTGTATTAAAAATTACATGTAGTATGGCTCCCTCAGGGGCAATTTGCTACTTTTCCCACAGGTAATGTACTTTTTGGATATAATGTGGTTACCTTTTTGATGCTTAATACATGCAACCAATCATTCATTGCCAAAGGCTTTCTTAAGTGTATTTTACTTTATTTTTATCCCATCCCACTCTTTCTTATGATAAATATCTTTATTTAAGTATAATTGATGTATAAAAAATTGTACACTTTGAAGTATACAATGTGAAGTTTGACACACATGGACAAACACGCAGCCATCACCACGGGTAAGACGATGAACACACTCACCACCCCAAAGACTCCCAGCGCCCTTCACAGTCACCCCCCTTCTCTCTCATCCCCCCCCACCTTACCATCCCCAACATACTGATCTGCCTGCTGTCCCTAGAGATCAACTTGCTTTGTCTACAGTTTTATGAAAATGAAATCATACAGCATGAACTTTCGTTTTACATCACTGTGATTAGATAGTTATACAACCTATGAAATGACCACCCCGGTAAGTTTAGTGCCCATCTAACACCAAACATTCAGGGCAGGGCAACAGTCGGTTTACAGTTGTCAGTCCGTGAAACGCAGAGTTCATTCTCGTATCACCGCTTATTAGTTCCTGTGTTATTTTCCATATGAACAGCTGCCGACTTTTGCCCCACCTGTAGTTATTACAGTATATTGACTGTATTCCCTAGGCTACACTTCACATCCCCAGGACTATTTCCTAACGGCCAGTCTGCACTTCTCAAATCCCTGCCCTGTTTACACCCACCCCCCCAACACTCTCCTGTGTGGCAACCATCAACATGTTCTTCGTGTCTGTGAGTTTGTTTGTTCATTTGTTTTCTGAGTTCTTACTTTAGATTCCACAAATACATGAAATCTCTTGGGTATTATCTATCTATCTATCTATCTATCTATCTATCTATCTATCTATCTATCTATCTATCTATTTTTATCCTCACCGGAGGCTATTTTCCATTGCTTTGTTAGAGAAAAAGAACGCGAGGGAAAGGGAAGGGAGAGAAACAGCAGCGTGAGAGAGAGAAATGTCGACTGGCTGCCTCCTCCTGCATATCCACCAGGTGACTGAACCCACAACCTGGGCGTGTGCCCTGACCAGGAATCCAACCCATGACCTTTCCATCTATGGGAGGACGCTCCAATCAGCTGAGCCACACTGGCCAGGGCTCTTGGGTATATTTTAAATAAGGCAAATGCACATATAAAATTGGTCAGAAAAGTATAATCTTGGGGTCAATTCAGAAACTCAGAGTACATCTCTATATTAATTTTCCAATACTTACCTTACAAAAATCATCTATACACAAATTCCAATTGTCTTTCTGTGTGATACTGTGAGGCTCTTATTTTGATGCTGGGGCACCGTGGCCGACTTTTGGCAGTCACTTAAGGATATAATTAACAAGTGACACACACTCTGCGTCAGGACTCGACTTCTCTGGGGACATATTTGGAACTGGGCAGTGACCTATATGCACAGCTGGATTTATTCTATTCTTAAATCTCTGGAAATATCCAAGTCAACGTGAAAGGTGCAAATGAATCACGGGTTCCTAAGTCTAGTTTTTAAGGAGAGAGACAAATCATCTGAGATAAACAAAACTATAATTCAACCCTATACTAAGAATTTGCTCAAGATTCCAAGCTATCTTTATTCAAAACACGGAGACCTTTGCACATGTGTTTATACACACACACACACACAAGCACAAGCACTCAAGTGACACCGGCCACCAAGTCTCAGGAAAACACTGCTGAGAACAAACCGGAGTTCAGGCTTCAGATTCAGGCTCTCTGTGGGGTTCTACTTCCCTTAACCCTTCTCTCTCTTTGGAACTAAAACAATGGAGCCCTGACGTCAGAGCCTCTTTGTTGTACAAGGATCCCGAGACGTCACCCAGTCTCAGATACCACCCGATGCCCGGTCCCTCGGCCAGTCCTCCGAAGACAGGCCCTGTCTTGTTGGCAGAGAGCAGCGCTGCGCCGTGGCTGAATGCATGTGCTTTGGGGCAGAGACACATCTGGGTTCACAGGCTTTACTACTTACTAGCAGTCACCTGGGGTTAGGTACCTTAACTTTAATTTCTTCATTTGTAAACAGTGGGTGATAACAGTACCAGCTTCACAGGGCTATTGCGAGGCTTGAATGGCCTAGTAAATGGAGTGTTTCACATATAGTAAGAACTTGGCACTTACCAAGTGCTCAAATAAAATGTAGCTAGGATTGACCACTATTATGAAAGAGCGGCCCATTTCAGTGTTTAAACAACTCCCGCTGCTAGTAAGGCCAAACCCGGCTGACTGGTACTTCCTGTCCATGGATTCTCTGAAGCCTTACAGAGCTTAACCGAAGCCCCTGAATCACGTCAACGGGGTGGAGTGCATGGCCCACTTGAGACTCCTTGGTACGAAGCAGAAGTGCCCAGTTTCCCTGACTGCTCCTCGTGTGACCCTCTGTGACCCATGCTCTCTCCCGGACATTCTCCAGCCTGCTGGAGGCCCTGTGCAAGCAGCTCCTGTTTGGTTTGGTTTATGCAGTGCTATTGTATTGACTACCTTGACAGAGGTCAGTCCTGGAGGAGTGGAGTGTGGTGGGTGGGTCCCCTAACTCAGCCTTAGACTGTGGTCAACTCAAGTCCAGACAATAAATAACATCTGTATCTAGGGTTGCCAGTGAGAGAACCAGTTAGCTGGTCTTTTGCCAGCTGTGAAATCTCAGTTGCTCGCCTGCAAAATGAGGGCATCTACCTACCCCGCTGAGTAACTGTGGATTCAATGAAGCAATACCTGCCTTACTCCCATGCTTTCCTGACCCCTTCTAGTCCAGCTCTAGTGCCCACTAGTTCACGGGCTAGGGGGTTACCATCAAGGTTACCAAGGATCCTCAAGTAGTTATATCCTGTGGCCAAGCCTTGGCTTTCATTTCTCTTGACCACTTAGCAGCACTTACCACAGCTGATAATGTCTTCCTCTTCCAAACACTTTCTTCTCATCTTATGGGACACCACTCTCTCCTGGCTGTCCTGACCTCTGGCTACTCCTGAGGTTTCAATTGCTGGACCCTTCTCTTCAGCTCTAGATGCTCTAGAGTCCCTGGTCTGGCCCCTTCAGTACCTACGCTCACTGCCTAGGCAATTTCACCAGTGCAACACTGTGGGTAAAAGCAAGGGCTGTGGAGCCAGACCGCCTGGGTGAATCCACTCTATAACGTACAGCTGTATTGTGGAGGCAAGTGATTGAACCTCCCTGGGCCACAGTTTCCTCATCCATAAAATGGGGAGCAATTGCCTAAAGGCATCGTAAAGAGTAAAGGAGTTAATACAGGTAAAGAGATTAGAATGTGGTAAGCATTTTATGCACGTTACCTAGTTCCATGACTTCATCTACCATACATATGCTGATGATCCCCAGATGTACTGATACATCTCCATTCTCCAATATTCCAGTCTCTTGTATCTGAAGGCCTACCTGACATCCCCATATTGTTGTCAAACAAGATCTCAGAGATCGTTTGTCTAAAACTGAGCTTGATTCCACAGCTTCTGCAAACTTCTTTCCCCTCATCTTCCTCACCTCGCTCAAGGGCACCACTATTCACCTAGATGCTCAGGTGAAAACCTTAGAGTCATCCTCTAGTCCTCTCTTTTTTCTCCTCATCCAACTGTCAGGAAATATAGCTACTCCACTTTGAAAACACATCCAGAACATGACCTCTTCTTACTACTTCTCCCACTACCCCCTGGCAAGCCACCAGCATTTCTTGCTCAAACAACTGCAATACCACCTAATTGGTACCCTTGCTTCCCTCCTTGCTGCATATAATCTATTCTCTACCCAAGAGCCAGAACAGTCCTTCAAATGAAAATCAGATGTTCCTTCCCTGCTCAAAACTCTCCAAGGACTTCCCATCACACTTGGCACGAATCTAAACTCCTCTTCTTTCCTAACAAGGCTCTATATGAACTGTCTACCTCTTGGCCTCATCTCCAGTCACTCTCTCCTTGCCTGCTCTAACCCAGCCATTCTTTCTGGCCTTGTGTTTGTCCAATTTCACAAACAAGTTTCTGCTTCAGGGCCTTTGTGTTTGCAGCTACTTCTGGCTGGAAAGTTCTTCCCCCACATTTTCACATCCCTCTTTCCTTTGCAATCTCTGCTCAAATGTTACTTGTGAGAGAGGCTTCCCAGTCTGCCTCATCTAAAACAAAAACGAAAACAAAAACAAAAAAACAACACAACACTCCCCACTCTCACTCCTGCACCATCCTTGTCTGTCCCTTCATCCAATTTTCTTCATAGCACTTCATAACACAGCTGATAATGTAAGTCTGTTTGTCTACTAGAATATCAGTTCCTTGGGGGTCACAACTACATTCTGTTTAGTTCACTGCAGTATCCATGGCACCTAAGCAGTGCCTGGGACATAGCAGGTGCTCAATAAATATTGTTTTCGAGCATAAAGAAATGAATAGTGCTTGTTGGTGCACTATAGGTGCTCAATAAATATTGATGCTCAATAAATACTGTTCTCAAGCACAAATAAGTGAATTGTGTTTGGCACAGTTCCTAGGACACAGTAAACAGCTGTAAGTTTGTGATGTCAATTTGAAAAGTTGAAAAACGATGTTTAACAGAAAGGATGAAATTCTTTACAAACGCTTCTTAAGATGTCAAGATATCATATTTTCACCTAATTTCAATATAAATTAGACAATATCTTGTACTTACTTGGAGTTTCTTCTAAAATTTCCTGGAACTTGCTTCTCTCATAATCCACCAGCTGGCGTTGAAAATGTGGTCTAAAACTCCGAATTAGAAAATTGGCCATGTCCATACTCATGAGTTCCAGGACTTGAAATATTTGTCTAAAAATTTGAGAATTAAAATAATTCGGTGATTAAGAAATTAATCTGAAATTCATTGATTTTTACCTATTCCCTGGCTGGGGAAAAATAAACACCCCAAAAATGGTTTTTAAATTCGAATCACCATTTGGCAAGGGTCACACTTTTCATAGGAGGTATTACACATGCATCACAAATCTATCTTTCTACAGCTAGCTCTCAAGAGTACTTGCTTTAGCAAACATATTACCTCCAGCTGAGCCATTACATCCAGTTCTGAACTGATAGAAAGACACTAAGAAGTACATATAACGAGTCTTGACAATGAGATAAAAAAGGTTCAATAAGGAATTTTCACTTGAAAGCCCCTGAAATTTTTTAAGGAGTCTGAACATAGTGTATATAGTTTCTATTCCTAAGGAAATTAGAAAAAAGAAAAAAAAAAAAAAGAAAAGAAAAAAAAAGAAAAGAAAAGAAAAGAAAAAGATGGGGCAGTGAGGCATAGGGGAAAGAATACTTCCTTTTAGAGTTGGGTAACCCATTGCTCAAATCCAGCTCTGTGGCCAGATACAAGTCACTCAATGTCTCTCAGCCTTGGTTTCCTCACCTTTGAAAGGAGAGGACAATACCAACCTTGGAGGGATGTTGTTGGGAACTGCCCTACCTGGTTTCAGAAGCTGGAACCCCCCACGGCTAAGACTGAGTGATCGACCTTGGGACCATAAGCTTGGGACCTTGGGACTAAGGAGACAAAAGCTTATCTCCTTGACAGGAACGCCACTTCTGCTCCTTTTACTTCACCCTGCCTGGCTCCCAATGCTAGATCAGTTAGACAATGACGGGTAAGATTTCTCAAGGGAGGGACGACCTAAGACAGACACGATCCTGGGGGCCCCCAATTCTGGAAGGACTTGGGGGCTACAGAAAAAGTGGGTGATGGACCCTTGCCCCTCGGCTTTGACATAGCCTGAGTCCTCATTCTGTCTGCAAGAAGTCTCCTAATCTCTTGACTGCCTTACTTCCCCTGCCCGACTTAAGCATGAAACAGTGCTGGTGGGGAGGGTGGTGCAGCCTTGTCCTGGAAAGGGTGGGTTCCCTAGGGTGATCAAGCCTAAGAAAGAATGCATAAAATCCTATGAAACCTACTTTGCTAATACCCTCAATTTAAATAAGGGGCCAAGCAGGAAGTGAGTTTGTTCCCCAAAGTTTTATGGCCATTTAACTATCTGACCCTGACTCAGAATAAGCCCTTAGAGTTCTCTGAATGTTATCTATTGTTTAATCATTTCTGCCTGACAATGACTGATGAGCTTTATGTATACACCCTGTATTCCTATGCAAATTGAATCCAGTAAGTCTGTCAAGGTGAAGGGCGAGGCGCTCTCCTCTTGAGAGAGAAGGCTCGCTGTCCCTTTTCCTCCACAGGACTCAGTAGTCTGTATGAACTTGTCTCGTATCTCATCCATAATTCCGTGGACACTGTGAGCCAGTATCTGCATCAGGATGTTGTGAAGAGTGAATGAGATAATAAATGTAAAATGTAGGGAACAGTGTCACCCAGTAGGTGCTCAATAAATGACCAAGCTGAACACCACAGATCTGATACCACACACATAGGTAATAAAACAACCAGAAGCAAAGATTCTGCAACTGAAGAACTGCAATTTGCCAGAGCCGAGCTCAGCTCTAAGGATCCGGAAAGCCCATTTTAAAGATGGGTTACAGTGACTCTGAGAGGCTGTCAACTTGCCCGAGGTTGTAAAGTAAGCTGCCTCCTGCTACATGCAGTTTCCTTTTCCTACCTTCCCAATACAGTTACATAAAACTTACATATCCATGCGGCCATATTCACAAACATGCAAAGAAAAGTTCCCCTCAATGGCAAAAAATGTTGCAGACTCCGCCTTCCTCTAGCATCACAAAGCAGTTACTGTCTGCACAGCCAGGTTAGATTCTCACTTCCTCAGGGGAGCTGAGACAGAGATGGCGGCTGACCACCCAAGATCCATGCTCCCTTTTGACTACATGGATCTGTGGCTGGGAAATGCATTTCCAAGGCAGCCACCACACTTCCCAGACCCCCTTCACACTCCAGGTGGACCACAGTACTAGTCAGTCAGTGGAAGGTGTCACTTCCAGGCCAAGATGGGTAAACACAGGTTATAACTGCCCCATGATCTCCTTCCCATTCACCAGCTGAATGCAAAGGACTCCGAGGACCTGGGCAAGAAGGAGCTTGAGTCACTGAATGGCATGTGCAAGGCCAGCCTGACCAAGAACCCCAGGCTCGCACTATGACATGAATGAGAGACAACTTGTGTTGGTTTATTGGGAACTGAGAATTCAGGTTCTGTGTTATAGCGCTGGCATTAATCTAATGAAGAAGCCTTTCTAGATTCGTGACTAGGTCTCCCTGCTGGAGGCTCCATTAACCCTTCCACTTCCCCTCCCAGAGCACTCACTGCAGTTGTGATTCTTTGTCCAGGGTCTGTCTCCCCACTAGACTGCAAACTCCGCGGGGGTCAGGAACTGTCTCTGTTTCATTACCGCCTCTCTAATGCCCAGCACGTGCCAACTAACAACCCTGATAGATCATTCTATCTGAAAACGTATGTACACAGCAAATGATTGACTTCGCCCTTGTTTATTTGTCTCCCCCTGGGGTGAAGGATTTCTCTGAGAGACCAGCCACCCTTCATTCTGTGTTTCTCAATCCCCACACTTCCCTGCTGCAGGAACTCACAGGCACTCTAAGAAAACGGGAGCAGCAAAAGCGCTAACCTCAGCACCTCCACGATGTTGCCCGTAGCCTTCAGCTTTCTGACGTCGTCGTCCCTCACGGGAGCGCACAGCTTCCCCATCGTGCTGATGATATAGCTGGCCAGGCCGGGGATGTCGACCGCGCTGTGCTCGGCCTGCTGCCTGATGAGGTCTGTGTCCAAAACCTCACAGATCTGGTTGCGCAGCCGGTTCCCACCACCAGGAGTCAGAAAAGAGAGAAGAATCTACACAGGAAAGGGAAGGAAAAATTAACGGTGTCATTATGTGAATAAAAGTTATAAAAGTTGTCTTTTCTTTTTTTTCATTTCACTGTCTAGACGACCAAGCTCCCTGTCCATATTTTAACGCCCTGGGTGCCACAGAAGTCTGCACGGACTGGGTGGTGGATGAGAGCACTAGAGTGTCTCAACTCCCCAAAAAAAGGTCTAGCTTCTGAATTTAAGCCCTCTACCCCTTTCGTGGGGAATGACTGATTCTCTCGGAATAAAAGCAGAGTAAGGAAGCAATATTACTGAAGAACTCCAGAAGGTTTACAGACGAACTCTGCCAAGAAGGAACAAGTTGCAGATCAGGGCTCCAAAAGAATGCAGCAAGGAGGAGCAGGCAGAATCCCCTCCCCGCCACAGGCTCCATTAGTACGAGGTATCACATTCTACATATAAGATATGTATATTCTACAAGCAACCTTTACTGAATACTCAGTTCCTAGCAGACACGGCACTTGTACACAGAGCACACTGACAGGAGCACCCTGAGTCAGAGTGACTCGGTTTCAAACCCGTTCCCACCCCTCAGAGCTGTGCAACCCCAAGCAAGGCAGGGAACTTGGCTTCTTGACATAAAACAACAGGTGTCACCACGTCACAGCATGATGCTGAGGATAAATGGATAGGCTACTGCTTCGCACACAGCAAGTGTCCTGTCGATGTCAGCTAACGCTGTGACGGTCACCTCATTCAATCCTTATAACTTAAGTGCTCAGGAAATAAGACTTAAAGAGGGAGAGGCCATCAGCAGACCAGGACTGTCTAACTCCAGAGTCTGTGGTCTTCACCACCACACCACCACTCAGAGCACAGCACCACTGTGAGTTCCCCCACTGCCCCGGTTTCCCCGCCCCCACCCTACTCTAGGAGGTGCAGGAAGAATCCCTCCCCAGGACTGACGTGCTCCGCGTTTCAAAAAGAGTCTCTAACCCTCTTTGGAGGACCTGAAAACAGTCTGGGGGAAAACAATTATACAGACAAGGTCAGCTTGCCTCTCTGATTTCTTCAAACAGTTTGATGGCGTGGTCGTACTCGGGAGGCTCAGCATTCAGTTCTGATTCCAAGACGTCCCAGTAGGCCTGGTGGACGATGCTTTTCACTCGGCTGGCCAAGCTGTGGAAACGACACAAATTGTTCTTTTAAGTGGGCACTGTTTTCCCTGTTTATAAGAGGGGTATGGTCATGGTAGCGATCTTAGAAAATCAGAATGAAACTGCCCATAATTCCATTATTTCCATGTTTAATGTATAGTTTTAACATAGAGTACCCAGCAAGTACAATATTATCTCACAGGCTTGCTTGTTTCGTTAAATACTGTCATGTTTCCCCAGCCTTCCTTTAATAAGCAGACACAATCCTGTCCTACGGAGATATTGTAATTTACCTAGCTACTCTTTTACACAGATTTAGACTCCTTCTAGATTTTGGGGATGAGGTGACGAAGTTGCTCTTTCCTCAACAGCTGAAGTTTCGTGGCAGAGAACAGACTGGCCCCAAGGAGACATGCGTTTGAAAGCCTGCCAATTTCAGCCTCGATGTCCCATTTAAAGTTTAGCCAGACCGAACTGCTGAAATAGGAGATTCCCAGGAAGAGCCACAATAGCACAGGTGGTCATCTTGCTTCACCCCTGATGTCAAAGCCCTGAAATAGGTGCACACTAAAATACACATCCCTACTGAGCTGCTCCACGGATTTGCATCAGCTCTGAGGATGGCGCACGTGTCCCTGCCCTGGAACTACTCACCAGGCTCTGCCCTCCCACAGGGGTGTGTGGCTCTGCCGGGCAGAGGCCACGGCTTCCTCTAGATACTTGGCGTCTACTGAACGTTCAATAAACGCATGGTGAGTGAATGAACAATGTGACAGGGCAGTGTGGCATAGCTCCTAATTTTTCTTTTTAAAGTGCAAATAGCTAAATATACAATAATGTGAGGAGAAATGAAAATTAGCTTTTTGAGGAGTATGTTAAAATTGCTTCTATAACTACAAATACTACCTTCCGCTCAGACACTTTTAGATGTTAAAACTTAACACGAATGCCATTTCCAACGTTGGAGACTTTCTTGAGCAACCACAGAACAACTGCAGAGGACGGACTTCTGCTCTTCACGTCACAAGCCTCAAGTACCGGCCTCAATGGAACAACCGGGAACAAGCTACAACAACTGTAGGGCTCCCTCAGGGACATGTGAGTTTTAATTTATGCTCTCCTAAAGGCTGAAAAATGCTTTTTAGGCCTTTAATTTTCTGGGATGGGACGGGAAGGAGGGGAAGAGGGCAGGAGATCAACTAAATCATTGATAAGCATCCCTACTGGGCATTAGAAACCTGACTTATTTTACTAAGTTTTTTCCCCAAAGAAAATATTTAGTAAGTAAGATATGAGTCACCCATATTTCAAAGAGTAACAACCGGGCCATTGTAGAGAGTCATCTGAAAAAATGAACGGTTCCAAATACGCTGTGTCATTTTTAAACCTGGGTCATGTGCCTTATTCTGCGTGTTGTTTCCCTTGCCCATATTTTGTAGCTCTGGAAGAGAATGAAGGGAAGAGGATTCATATTTTCCGTAGTATCAAGAGAACATGTGCAAGGCACTCACATGCCCCGAGCTTTGAAGTGAGTGCTGCAGTCCCCACCTCAGTCCTGGGGAAGGTAAGGATCAGACATGGTCTCGGCAGAGTGAGCAGTCAAGACCCAGGGTCTGTCTGATCCTAAAGCACCTTTACTAGGGCATACATTCGCAACTTTTGAATTAAAGTATGATATCCCTTAATTGTCTTTTGCTGTACTTCATAAAACATGCTAGGTTTAAGTCCAAACATTCATTTTTATTAGTCAGCCAATAAATGTTTGTTCAACATTCACCATGTGGTATGTCCTATATTAGATGCTGGAGATACTATAGTGAAAAGAAGTCTCTGCTCTTAGAATGTGTATATGTTAGCAGGAAAAGAAATAAAACATTAAAATAAGACAATTTCAGAGCTACGAGGAAGACCGAGTCAGACAATGTGGTAGATGGTAATAAAAAGGGAGACAATTTTGCTGAATGGCTAAAGAAAACTTCTCTAAGACAGTGATCTTTGAACTGAGACTTGAATGGGGAGAAGAAAGTCACTGGTGAAGATCTAGGGGAAGAGCTGTGAAAAAGAAGAAAGAAGGACAAAATCCCTGGGACACAGTGACACTGCTCCCCTCCCCCGAGATCATCAAGGAAGCCAGTGCGGCTGAAGACCAGCAGACAGGAGGTAAAGGAGCAAGAGACTCGGCTGGGGAAGCAGGGCCTTGCGGGCCACACGGAGGAGCCTACATTCTGATTCTAAGTGCACGAGAAAACCACTGACGGGTTTCAAGCAGAGAAATGATCTAATTGGATTTACCCTTTAGTAAGTCTGTATGGCTACCACGTGGCGTGGCTGTGGAGGAACTAAGAATGGAGAGGGGGCAACTAGTTAGGACGGAACTAGTCCAAAGACAAGAGTGACCTAACCCAGAGCGGCAGCAGTAGAGCTAGTGTACAGGATCATGGTGACGTGCAGTTTCCACAGACAACCACACGGACACACCTGAGGTGGCCAGGAATCTGAAAAAATGTTAAGGATTCTTAGGAACATCCCGGAAGCAGGAGGACTATAAAGCACATTTTATATTTTAAAACCTTTCATGTTTACTATTGTCCTGCTTTAAAACAAACAAAAAAATTTTGAATGGAATCAGATATTACTTGTTGTCTTAAGTGATAGAATGTCTCCAGGTTTATTATAAATGACGCTGCAGGGTTGAAGGGTCAGTGAACCATGAGCCAACTTGGCCTCTGAAGACCTGCGGTAATGGCCACAAGCTTTTCTTTGTCCCGGCCACTGAAGCTGGAGAGGGTAAAGTAGGAAATTAGGGTGTGTCTATAACTAAGGGTGCCTTGGTGGTGAGGTTAAATAAGGGAGCGTATGCCGCTGCGGTTTCTATTGTACAGCCAGGGGCTTCTAGATGGCCTTTTCTTAGCACCTTGGCAACTCAACTGCATGTGTCTTTCACAACGTAAATATTGGTTTTTAGTAAGTCAATCTGCAAATATTTCTTGAGCATGTATTATATGTCAGGTACTCTGCTAGGTAACAGGGACAGAGCAAACGACACAGACATAGCTCCTCCATTAATGGTGCTTTGGATCAAGTGGGAAGGACAGACATTGAACATGAACCCATGGCATCTTAACAAAGGGGAGGGAGAGAGAGCTACGGGAGTTTTCAGCGAGGTGATGTCATGTGTCTAATGGGCGCAGGAATGTCAGGAAAAGCTTCCGTTAGGAAGCGACACACAAGCTGAGTTTTAAAGATTGTGGGAAACATGTGTCCAGATGGTTTTAAAAACAAGGACACAACCTTGTTAGAGAGCCAGATAAGGTCTGCTCCCACTCACTATTATACAAGAACTTCCAGGAACCAGTGTAGATATGCACATGCACACACATGCACACGCATGCACACACACAGAGGCTGCGGTACAAACACCTCTGGGTTACCTGTTCTCAGGGAGGTCAGCATGTTTCACCTGAAAGTTCTCATTGACAGCAATCTCATGAGCAAGAGTCAAGTTGACTAAGTTCTTCGCCGTGGCCATCACTTCGTCAAGGGTTACAACCCTGGGAGGGCTGGCTGTTGAAAGAAAGGCAAAGACCAGTCAGCCAATGTGGTAGAAGGGAAGTGCCATCCAGTGACGCCTCCGGGTGCAGCTGGACTGGAAGTTACCCCAACAGGTATTTTCGGGGGTTTACAAGTACGAGGAACACAGACTAAAACACGTGGATTTCCCTGCTTAACATCAACTTCAAAAATGTAAGGACTCCTCTGATAGCTGCAGTTACTGCACTTAAGTGTTTCAGAAACAATCTTATGGACACAGGCTGTTAATTTTTAAATCAAACCACCTCAGTTTACACCTATTGTATTTGCCTTTATTACATATGATATAGAGGAAATGAATGACTACTTTTTAAAAAGTTTTTACTTATTTACTTTTAGAGAGAGGGGAAGGAAAGGAGAGAGGGAGAGAAACATCAATGTATGGTTGCCTCTTGCACACCCCATACTGGGGGCCTGGCCAGCAACCCAGGCATGTGCCCTGACTAGGAATCGAACTGGTGACCCTTTGGTTCACAGGCCCACACTCGATCCACTGAGCTACACCAGCCAGGACAGATGACTTTTTATTGGTAATTCATAACTCTTATTCACTTAAGCAGACAATGTGAAATAACTGACTTTTTAAAACTAACATAATTTCTAAAAACATATGCAGTACAGCATAATGCTTAGATGTGGTTCTAACTTTTGCCGATGGCAGCTGTCATCCGACCTCACTGAGACATGACTGAGCTCCGTAGAGGTTGTCCTGAGGTGACTCGATAAGGCAGTTCAGGTAAAGAGGAACAGCGTAAGCAGTCAATAAATGCAGATGATTAAAAATAATTCCAGTAAGCTTCATGATGTACATCTCAGGAGGAAGTAGTAAATAATTATTCTACTTATTTCTAAAGATCATTATAAAAAATTATTCTAATAAATCAGGTCCTTTTGAAACCACTGTTGGAACTCATAGCTCCTATGGGTTGAAAATTATGACCTCAAATAACAGGGCTGCCCAGCAGTGTTTTGCTACCTAAACGATTTTAAGAGGAGAGATGAAAACGGCCATACACAGAACTAGCCAAACCCTTCCCCGGGACGCCTGGGTTCCCCTTTAGAGGCATCAACCTTGTATGAAACATAAAGAGTAAGAAGCAGCACAGAAAGCTGAGTGGCTACTAGCAAATTCTTTTGCCAATAATCTGTCCCACTGAGAGTCTCCTTAAAAATGTCTGTACCCCTTGGTCCCATAACCCAATTATGTCGAAGGATCTCGTGGAAAGGCTCGATGCGTCAAGATGTCCATGAAACACTGTTTAGAACAAAAAAACAAACAAAAGGTTCAATGATAAACCAATGGTTAAATAAATTTATCATAGATTCACTTAAAGAAGTAGTCGTCGTAAAAAACAATGTTTCAAAAATATTCTTTCAGCCCTGGCTGGTGTAGCTCAGTGGATTGAGCGTGGGCCTGCGAACCACAGGATGGAGGTTCAACTCCCAGTCAGGGCACGTGCCTGGGCTGCAGGCCAGTTCCCAGCAGGGGACTCACAAGAGGCAACCACACATTGGTATTTCTCTCCTTCTCACCTTCCCTTCCTCTCTAAAAAAATAAATAAATAAAATCTTTAAAAAAATAAAAATAAAAAATATTCTTTCACAAGGAAATGTTCTAGTTGTGCCACTAAGTGAGAAGTGGTCACACACATATACACACACACACACACACACACACACACACACACACGTACGTCTCTGAAGAATGCAGATAGATGGGACAAAGCGCTGCCAGCTGTCAGCCCTGGGTGATCTTCTAGGCCATGTTTTCTTTCCTCTACACTTACCAACTTTCCGATATTTAAAAATGAGCATGTACGAATTAAAATAAATACAAATGGACAAACTTTTTTGAAGTGGGCATTTGATCATAGTAAACATTAGTTGCTTTTTTCTGCATTTGCTTTGTCAGCTTAAGTGTTATATTTTCTGTACAAAAATGCCAATTTAAAAAGCTTAAAAAAAAAAAAAGACAAATACCATCTGCTTTACACATCACTAGCTTCCACATACCAAAAAAAAAAAACCCAGAAGAAGCCCAAGATGTCTTCCTTCACTGGGGCCACTCTCTGAGCTCTTTCTCGCCCTCCTAGTGCAGTAACTCTCCTCATGGGCACTTTTCTGCCATGATTTGCACAACATTTTTTGAAATCAGCAGGAAATCCTTTAGATTATTTCACTTCCTCCCTGACCCTTGAATTGGGGCAACTTTCCTTTCATGTAAATCAGAAATCATCAGAAAAGACCAATTTGAATTTGTCCTTGGGTGTGGCCCAAGAAGTGCTGTCATGGTGTTAAGGCCTGGATCACCACTACTTGAGAAAGACAGGTGAGGTTGATTTAGAGTCAAATCAAAGCACATCAGACCCAGCGATGGGGAAAAAAGGGCAGGTTGTAAATTTCAGTGGCTATTTACTCCTGAGAGCGTGTACAAGACAGCTGGGGAAGTCTCTACTCTGATATCAGTCATTTCTATTTTTTCTAAAGATTTTATTTATTTATTTTTAGAGAGGGGGGAGGGAGGGGGAGACACAGTGATGTGCAAGAGAAACACTGCGCCTCGGCGCTGCACACCCCAGTCCCTGTGACCCTCCAGTTCCCGGGTCACGCCCCACCCACGGAGCCACAGCAGCGAGGGCGCAGTCCTCTCCCAGTGTTGAAACCCAGCACACAAGCCAGAACCGCCCCACCGCCCCCAGCCTCTGCGCCCCTGTCAGCTTACAAGCCGGAGAGCTGGACTTGCTGGAGGAGTCGCTGGTAAAGCTCCGCCTGGAGCACTCGTAGTCGCTGAGCGAGGCTGTGCTTTCGGACAACCGGGAAGAGTCGGTGTCGCTGGGCTGGTCCTCGCCCATGCACTGCTTCTCGTCATTGAAGGGCATTTTGAGTCACCTGAGTGTGGGGCGAAGAGCCAGAACCTGCACAGACAAACGGACTCTGTGTCAACGCTCTGCGATGCTTCTTCCAGGGCAGACACCTGTGTCGTGTGTGTCGCGGAGTGGGAAAGGCTCCCAGAAGGTGACCTAGAGTCCCCACAGCACCCCAGCCAGGCTGTCACTAGGCCTTCAAGACTGCCTTCCGGAAAAGGGGTTCCACAGCCACAGGTGTGACCTTCACTCAGGACATCCCGGGTGGGAATGCGGGCTCTCCATGGTAACGGGCCCTTAAAAAACAAAGTGCAGAACATACTCTCCTCCTGGGCTGCTATGTATGACGTGGGAAGGTGAAAGTATGGGGCTCTGCTGTCGGACTGCCTAGGTTAGAAGGTCATGCAGTCTTTTGTCACGTGACCTTGAGGAAGTCACTGACCTTCCCACCTCATCAGTAAAACTGAAAGACTTATCTCATAGGACTGCTTGGGGGTGAACCCGGATTCATCTTACTAAAGTGCTTAGTGCAGCACTCACTGTTAGCTACTGTTATTGCTCCTACGTCTTTGTTTTGAATAAAATATTTTTGAAATCAGCCTCATTAGTTGTTTGTGAGCCTCCTGAAGAAAGGAAAAGGCGAATTAAAGTCTCTGACTGGCCAGTCCTTAGGTTCTTCTCCATCTGCCCACAGATGGCCATGACACAAAGAGCAAGGACCAACACTTGGTTTGTACCTGACACTTCACAAAGTACTCACTACCACCCAAAGGACAAAGAGGCACAGAAGATCTTGGTTCCCAGGCTGCGGAGGACAGACTCCGGGGACAAGAGGACTTACTATGACATAAAACCAGCCCCTTGACTACATTCAGTGCTGCCTCTGGAAAATCAGATTGCCTTGCAGGGCAGAGCGGTCGGGTCCCACCATCCCCTAGAAAGGAGATCCCAGGCACACGGGACGCACAGGCCTAAGCCCAGGAGCCTCAGCCAGGCCAGAGAGAAAGCTGGCCTTCATGTGTGTGCGAAGTCAGCTGACACAGAGGAGAAAAGGCATGTCAAATCCTAAAGGGACAGTAATGATAGCAAGGGCTACCTGAGTGTCTTTAGACCTGAACCAGCTCATGTGATGAGGTACACAGAGCAGACAGAGCTGCCAGAATTTGAAACCACAGCTTAGTATGCCTGAAAAACCTGCACAGGTTCTGCCGTGATTTCTCTCATTATTTATCGAGTGCCTGCTGTGACCAGGCCCTGGGGAGAATGACAGTGAATGAAACAGCCAGGGCCCTGCTCTCATGGCTCTCAAGTCCAGTTACCTAAGACCGTGTGTGCCAGATGCCAGAACACAAGAAAAAGCAACACAAGACATTGCTGAGGAAACATGAGAAAGGAGAGGCCAGCAGGGCTGGGAATAAGGGGGAGTCTAGCCTTTGTTGAGAGAAAAGAGTGGCACTCTTTATCTCTTGGGTGGCAGACAAGAACAGGCCTGAGAGGAACTGGTTAAGGGTCAGAGTCTCAAGGGTATTATTAGCACCTGACCTCACCAAAACAAACTTCTTCAGACCTGCCACTCATAGAAATGCACCTTTGCTGTGCCCACCACTTTCACAGACAGAAAACCACTAACTTGGAGATTGCCTCTGCAGACCGAATGGCAAGGAGACAAGTGTAGCTGCTAGGAAGCTACCAGGTAGAGGCCTTCACCTTACCCTATAGTCCCCAAGGCCGACCACCCACCACGATCGCGGGCTATAAAATAACCCTGAGCCCCCTTTACACCGTGCAACCTAGATTTCACTTGAGCTTGAACTCCCATCTGCTTGGAGAGGAGCGGGGAAGACAAAAGAAAAGCATGTGCTTCAATCCTTTCACTTCCACCAAACCCCAGACCCTGCATGGAATGAATGCTCGCCCTTCCCTCCAGCTTTCTCTCTTTGCCAATATTTTACTTCTCACGGATCTACTTAGGCATTTCTTAAAAATGCTACCTCCTCCAGAAAGCCTTCCCTCTATTCTCTGGCCAGGGCCAAGGGCACTCTTCTTTGTCCACCCGCAGCACACCTCCTGTACCTTCATGACAGTGCTTCGTCACCTGTACGGTGATTTTCCTCCCATGGCTACTTCCAACTCTCCTTAGTAAAAGGCAGGATCTGTGTCTCGTCCACCACCAGTGTCAGATACGTGACAAGTATTCATTCGGCGTCAGCGGAATTGGAATCGTTGAATCCCATCTGGTGCAGCTTCAACCAGAACATTTGCAAACTGATAGCACCCCACGTTGGCACAGGCCTGGCACTGGCAGAGCTCAGCACCGGAGCAGATGACCTACACCGAAACCTGCCTTATTAGGTTTAAGACTTAATATTCCCTGGTCCTTATCGCACTCTTATTTGAAAATCTTAAACTCTGTTTCCACTTTATTCTTCTTCCAGTCATTCCACCGTAACAATTGTGCTATGTGTGGCCTACTCTTACTTCTCTTTACTTTGGCTGTTTTTTCAGAATAAAGGTGCATAAAAGCTTTCATCCACTGAACTTTATGAAGTAGGTTAATTCATACATTGATCCATTGGATTTATTTCACCATAAATTCATCCATTCTAATTATTAGCTGTCCGTTTCATTTTTCTACTCCAGCTGAGCAGCACACTTTGTAGGTTTTTAAATTGTGTTTAACAAGGCAACAAAGTACAAAGATTTAAAAAATAAAAGATCTAACTCAGAAGGTAGAAGCAGAGGATATGAGGCCTGAGGCTGTCACTGATCACCTGTGTGGTTTTCTGCACATCACATCTGCTCTCTTCCCCTCATTATTCTGAGCACGTTAGACAGTTATTAGTTCCCTTCTGCCTAGAAATTGCTAAAATGCTATAAACCCAGAGTTCCATGAGGCATCACTAGAAGTTCCAAGAAATTAAATGTGCTCTTTGCAGACATCGTTAATAATGTGCAACTACGCTTTTTTCCAACAATTCACTGAAGGCAGAGTTTCTAGCACAGGGAATGCAACAGAAAATTTAAAAGCTTCAAAATGTTCAGAAACTTGTTTAGTTGGTAGATGTTTCGCCCACACTGGGCTTTACAGCATCTAAGCAGAAACTTTTCTTTGAAGCAAAATGTCCATTACTACTTTACTGGGAAATTGCCCATTTCCTCATATAGGCAAGCTGATGTTACCTAACTCACAGGGCTGGTGTGAGATTCCACTTAGTGTATGTGTGCTGCTCAGAATGATGTCTGACACAGTGTAAACAGGATACAGATGTTAGTAATTAGTAGTATTATTTGCTTTTGTTGTTGTTATCATCATTTTAGGCATTAAAAACTCTAGAGGGAAGGAGAGTTTTATCCTATGATGACAAAAACATGTTTCCCTACAGACAAACAAGACTGGTAGTTGGCTAGGACAGATTTCTTGCATTTGTTTGAACTACAAATGCCAAGGGCAAGTGGCCCATCCTGGTATAAATGGTCTGAAAGTTCCTTCACATCTGTTCTTTTCTTGTTCTCAGGTTTCTGTGTAAGTCATCTGGGGACAATGCTACTTGACTCAAAAAAACATCGAGGGTAATTAAGCTGCTTTGAAAACAATTTTGGATTCTCTCTTAGAACAAGTGATAATGGAACCCAGCTGGTCCTGTAAGAAAGGTAATGCTTCTCATACCAACAAACTTAAATCTACTTAACCTTCACCACTGTAACTCACAAGCAAACCATTCAATTCTTTGGGAACACCACATCTCAAACCTGGAAGATTTACACACGGGTCAAAGGCAAAGTCAAAGGTGAAGACAAAAGATAACTCCAAGCAAAGCCTCCAATACTCCAGTAGGTCACAATTCAAAGAGAATCACATTTTTCATTGCAGCGTTCCATGTTTAATAATAATAAGTGGTATTATTGTATCATTGCTTCCAAGGTCAAAGATTGGGATACAGCAGACACTTAAGTAGTTCTTGTTGAATGAATAAACAGATGAACAAATGGCAGGATGACCATGGATATCTTAGGAGGAAATGGGTGCAGGGACCTGAGGGGGCCGGTCCTGTGTTTAATAACAGATGGAAGGAAGATCAGTTGTAATTGTTGTGAAGATTAATGTAAATAGTCTGGGTTAAGTACTTAAGCTCCTAGTCATCAATTATCAACTATTATTTTTTCTTACTAAAAGAAATGATCACAAAATGTCAATGCCATAATAACAAAGAAAAGCTAGGATATGTCCCAGATGAAAAGACACTTGACAGTGAGTGCAATAGAGGATTCTAGACTGGACCATGTACGGGAGGGATGGAAGGGACATTACTGGGTCAATTGAGAACATTGTTACAATACTTGAATCTACTTCTGTATTGCAACATTAAATTTACTCAAGTTGATAAATGCACTGCAATTATGTATTTAGGAATAAAGTATGATGTATGCAACTTTCAAATTACTCAAATGAGAGGGAAAAAGAGAAAACAATAAAGCATATGAAGCAAAATGTTAATAGGTGAATATAAGTAAAAGGCAGACAATAGGAAGTTCTTTGTACTGTTCTTGCAATTTTGTGTATAAGTTTGAAATGATTTCTGAGCTACAGTTTAAAAGAGAAAAAAGTATTAAACTGAAACGTCAAGTCTAATTCGAAACAGTTCAGTCCCCTGCAGTTCTCAGATTTTGATTGTTTCTGTTACTGATAGCTTAGATGCTACTCTATTAGGAAAGTTCTGTACAGTCGGAGTTGTCCCAAAGTCCTTTTGAACGGTGCCTACAGAATAAAACAGGAAATGGGCTGGAGCCCTTCCAAAGAGGAAAAATAAATCATCCCTTTTAAGGGCGCTTCTCCAGGAGGTTTCCCTTTTCCTAAGAAGTCTCCTGGCGGTGGTTTACAATCCTTCTTTGATCCGACCTCGCTCCGGTACCCCTGCTCTAGACACCCGTACCCCTCATCCCATACCCCTCTCCTGCTAACCTCCCCGGCTCTAGACACCACAGCCTTGTTTGAGCTCCTCGGACAAGCCCTACTTCCTACTTTAGAGCACTTGCACCTGCTGTTCTCTCCTCCTGGATTGTTCTTGTCCTTGATCACAAGACGGGCTCCTTGTTGTGATTCAGATTTGAAATTGAATGTTACAACTTTAAAGTCACTTTCCCTGATATTCTCACTCACTCCATCTAACTTAGCCACCTAGCGCTTAGAACCCTTTCTGGGATAGAGCAAGAGCTGAGTATCATTGATGAACAAATTAAGCCACACTCTTACTGAATGAGACAACTCGGGTTTTCCTTCTCTTCTGCCTCATTCACATCACTCATATTCTCATTATGCAGTCACTTGAAGTACTATTGTTGTTTCTGCATCTCTGTCTCCCACTACATTTGAAGCAACTTGCAGGAAGGAGCTATGTCTCCACTCCCAGTGCCTTAAAAATTCAACACATTTCTAAGGCACCAATAATTCAAACTAGCAAAGACTCACAGTTACACTGTGTCTCTTCACCCTCTCAATGCTCACTGAGAGCAAATAATAACAAGTAAAGCTAATAGTTATTAGGTGTTTATTATGACTCAGCCCCCAAGAAAAGTGCTTTAAAAGTTTTCTCTCCTTGAATCTTCATTACAATCTTGCTAACTAAGGTATTGCTATTACAGTATCCCCATTTTACAGGTAAGGATCTGAGGCTCAGAGAGGTTAAATTACTTGCCCAATAATTCACGGCAGCAGCAGCACAACACAGATCCAGGTAGTGGATCTCTACGGCCCAGGCTTTCTATCACTCCGGGATGGCTGGAGAAAATTTGGCATGCTGCTCATTCTTTCCATTCTCACTCTGCCAAACTGATCTACCTATCGCTGCGGGAACACATGCACACGTGTTAGCCAGCTGACCTTACCCCAGGGCGGCTGCTCAAGTGCTATACCGTGAAGGGCATCACTGAAAGAGTCTACTGTCCAAAATAACTCTCAACCACCCCACTAGAGGGACTGAAAATCCTCCGTCAGGGAGCCATTCTTTAAGCACTGCAAAAGCCCAAGTTAAAACTCCACTATCAAAAGGGTTAACTGCTCACAATTAGCATAAATGAAAAAGATTTCAAAGTGAATTGTTCAGATTACCCAGCAGTGCCCCAAAATGGTACCCATCCAGTTAAGGTTGTCACAGAAAAGAGAATTTTCAAAAAGCATCTAGTGGGGATCATCTTTGAAGAGCCAGTCCAGGTCAGGTGCCAGGACAACCATTTACATATGTATAGCAAGGAGTCAGTGGAGTAAGTTTGGGCTTGGGAGAAGAACTGCAGATGGTGAGGAACATCTCCATCTTCAGCAAAATGCTGCTTTAGAACCAGGCCTAAACAGCAGCGCTAAAGGTTATTCATTCCCAGCAAAGCAAAAACCACAGAGCAGAGAGAGAGGTGCTTGCTCCATTCAGCTAGAGAACAGTGGTCTTCATCATATGAGAGCCAACAAAGAGCTAGATAAAGCCAACAAGCCAGCCATTGTCTAAAACAGCAGATGTTCACAGCACATCTAACATGACAGTGTCAGGGAGGAGGGTTTCTAGGTACTTCTCATTCTTGGAAACACTTCTCCTCCCACCCCATATGCCCTGTTTTAGTATCTGTGCCCTCTGGGGCCCCTGAACCCCCCCCCCCAAATGGCACTGAAGCTGCTCCCACATGTGACTGGGTATCTTTAGCCCCGGGCCACTTCAAGTCAGGCCACCTCTGAGGGCTGCCAGGGTGATGTATGAACCCTGAAGGCATGGGAAAAAGGCAGGCGGGGAGCCCCCTAAAATGGGAAACCCTGCTGTTACCTCATTACCTTGGCTGGTAGAGAAGAGCAAGACCTCTACCTGTAGATCATGAGACCATGGGGATCTTGGGGACTGGTGGGGTACTGGGGACAAGGATAATTTGTCTAGCTTCTTCAAGGTAAAAGTAACAGGACAGCCATCCAAGGCAGTATTTCCCAAACCTTAAATCATTTGAGTACCATTCTCCATGCCTGTTTCCATGTTGCCCTTCTCGCCCATACACTAATTTATCACTTCTCTTTCACCTGAGTTATGTGTTTAACTACACTGCATTGAAAAGGAAAATGTGTATCATTGTGAAATAGCTCGGTTAGTGGAACAGTTTTTCGTAATACTCACGAAAACACAGAACCGCGTTCGTTTGTCCACGTACCACCTCAAATCATCACTGTTGACCCCAGTGGTGCCCACCAAGAGGAGAGGCTTTGGGAAGCACAAGCAGTCCCTGAGAGGACAGGGGCTGGACCCCGAGCCTGACCCGCTCCCCGGGCGAGGGCACCCTCGAGGGGACGCGCCGGAGTCGGCTCAGACTAACGCTCCCCCACCCCCCAAACACAGACACACATACCCACGTCCTCCCGCAGCCTCTTCACTCCAGCAGCCGTTTCCTGTCAAAACAAACCCTTGGGGGAGGGGACGGCGGAGGCCGAGCCCAGCGCTGTGGAAACCCCGGCAACAAACCCCAAACACACGCTTCGGGCCCCGCCCGGCCCTCACGACGGTTCGGTTCGCCCCCTCCAACGAGGCCGGGGGTCGCGGGCGAAAGAGTGTTCCTCCCAGGGGAGATAGTGCGAAGCCGCTCGCTGAGCCGTCGCTGGCACGGGCCCAGCGAGATGTTACACAGCGGCCCAGCGGCAGCGACCCGGCGGCCTCCGGGACCCGAGCCCCGCGACCACCCCGATCCCCGCCGCGGCTGCTCGCGCGCCCGGCTCCCACGCGGGACAGCAGTGCGACGTCAAACCAGAGGACTGGCGGGAGCGAGGAGCCCGGCTTTAACGCCCCTGGCCCGGCGACTCAGGACTGCGCTCCACGGCGGAGCGGGGAGGCTCCCGCAGCCCCAAGCCAACGTGTCCCCCTACGTGTCCCCCTCCGTCCGCCCGGGCCCTTCACCCCGGAGCGGCGAGCCCTCCCCCGGGAGGCATACGCACCGGGCCCCGCGCGGAGACAGGCGGCGGAGAAAGGCGGCTGCGTGAGCCCGGGGCAAGGGTCTCCGCGCGTCCCTCTCCCAGGCCAGCACAAGCACCTGGAACACTGCCCAATCCCAACACCTCCAACCTCCTGGTCCCCCTACCACCCCCGCCCCACGCTGAATTTAAAGGGCCGGGAAGGACGCTGCAGGCGACAGCCAGGGCGCGACCATCACAAGACGGGCGAGTGGGGGAAAAACAGCAGCGGGCTGCGCGGAAGCCAGGGCGTTTCAGGCTCCGCTGGCGGAGCTCTGACGGGTTTCACCTACTACAGAACGTGTGTCCGCACCTTCGGATGACCGGAGCTGAGGGGAGCTCGGACTTGAAGGTGTTTGGGGTGCCGAAGGGAACGCTCCCCCCGCGGCCCGAGAGTAGTGCAGTCCGGGGCTCCTGGGGGCGGGGAGAGAAGTGTTTACGGAACTGGGGCAGCGCTGCAGCCGCGCGCACCGGGCGTTGGAGGCGGGGCCTGGCCGCGCTCGGGGGGGCGGGGCTAAGCTGGGGGCGAGGAGGATGGAGCGGAGCCAGATCCTTGGGGGCGCAGCGGAGCCGCCGGAGGCTCGGCTTCTAGAAGCGCTGGATTGACCCTCTTGGGATCCCCGTGGGTGCACTAGCGTGTGGACATTGCTGCAAGCCCCCCCCGGCCGCGGGTGGAACTTCTACCCGAGTAACCCCCGATCTAGACGAGGCGATCCGAACTGGGTGTTCACTGTCACACCGTCGACACAGAAACTGCCCGAATGACAGTGTGGCAAGTGCGTTTCCACGCACGTCTGCAACCAACCGTGTCGCCCACGTTTGTGTCTGCACCTCCACGTAAACACAGGTCCAGATTTGCATACGGCTGGACTAGACGATTAACTCCTGGGCGTCACACCCACTCAGGCTCTCTGAAGAGTAAACTTGTGTGCACACAAAAGATAAAGCATCTCACTTCCCCTAAGTGTTCTTGGCAGCACCTAACTCTGTCCGGGAGAAGTTTCGACATTTGTTAATGCAAATAGTGTCAGGATGGGCTCTGTGCTGTCAGGCCTAATGCTTCGTTCTTGTGGGCAATGCTTCAGGGTGTTCGCACATGGAAACCACTCTATATTCTGCCAAGTGTAAATTGGTGTTATTTACGAGATAGCTTCATGCAAGAATGTAAGTAAATTTTATATAGGCTGGAGTATTTTTATTTAGTGTTGAAATCAATCTGGCTTGGGGAGGCAAAATAGGTTCTAGGGAAAAACCAGATGGGCAACATTTTAAAGGAGGAGAGAAAGGCAGTTATCCTAGGTGGAATAATTAAGTATTCCACTGAATAGGGATTCATCTTGAGTTTAAACGCTAGCTCTGACATTTACTACCCATAAGGTCTTGGTCAATGGGGAGAGCAGTGATGACTGTCTCATTCTTTGGGTTATGGTGAAGATGCAATGAGATAAAGAGTGTGAATGGTTAGAGGTGTACCCATTAACCAGTCAATCAGTGTTAGTTACTGTAACTCTTTTGGCAAACCACTCTGAATAAACTTATCTGATGATCATTATAAATTTGTGTTTGTGTCTCCTTATGCTTTCTCTCCTCCCTTCTCTAAAAATATACAACTTGATACAAATCAAGAGATTAATGACAAAATACTGTTGCCACCCAAGTTCCTTTCCAGATTCTTTCATGCCCTTGTTTATACAGTTTATTGGAATCAGCAGTCAGAATAACAGATGCCTCCAATTTTGACTCTTGTGAAATAACAACCACCACACAACAACTGCCATCAACACCCTAAAATCTCCACAATAGAAATATAAACCAAAAATATCCCTCAGACTTCTGAACACTGGGACAATGACACATTGCAGCTTTGCTTCCTTTGTTAGCTTTGTGGGAGCTTAAGTATTGTTTTGCTTTATTGCATAACTTGGAGCCGATGAGAATGAGTCAAGAGGGTTGACCAGTCTACCTGGGTGACTAGCTGCTTGACCCCGGGGCATAAAGCTTAACTTCGTAACTCTCAAGACCACAAGGAAGCAATTTTTATCAAAGCAGGTGAATCAGGTTTCAATGTGCTGAGTTGAGAACCCTGAGGTGGAAGAGGTGGGGTAACATCAGAGACCCAAGCCAGTGAGAGAAAATATCCTGGAAACACAATTTTCTGTTACTTTGACATTGAATAACTTGCTATCTGAAAAGTTTTTTGGTCAATTATCTGACCAACTGCCCTTAGCCTGACTTGGATATTATAAAGCACTTTGAAAAAAATATAGTGCTGTAAAATATTACACAGTTCCTTTTTAAAATGAGCCTTGCATCACATTCTTGCTCAGATTGCTTAGGCGGTCTTAGAATAAACCCTTCCTTGCTCATATTATGTTCAAGACCTTCAGGGCGGGGTGGAGGGCAGGAATTATCTGAAAAAGCAAACTTTTTAGGGAGTAAAGTAACTAGGCTTTTATTTGAAGAAAATGTTATCACACCTAATTTTCCTAGCTCTTTGGGGAGCCCACCCAGGGAACTAACTCATGGTAATGCAGTTTGTTTTTTTCCTACCAACTACACAATGAAGTAAATTTGCTATTTTGCTTTTGGTAAGCAAGGGCATGTCAAAAATCTTGCTCAGTAAAGAAACGTAGATACTAATTTTCTTGTTACACACCTGAATTTTAAATTACAATGAATCCTTGAGGAAAAAAACCAGAAAATCCAAAACTTTTTTCATATGGATCTGCAACTCCTCAACCATTTAACTTGGATCATGGAGCTGTATTCTGTGCTGATTTCGCATAATGCAAGTTCAACTACACTACTCAGATGTGACAGGGTGTGGGGAACACAAGAGAATCATTCAAACACTGACGTGCCCCCGTTCTCTCTACGGGAGTTTTAAGGCTTCTCTTTCTGAGCTGATCTCAGTTTCCCAGCCTCTCAGTTTGTTCCAAGCTTCTTACCCAGCCTGGCTTTATGGATGTACAGCTCATTCTGTTGCATAAGACCCTCCACTTGGAAGAGCCCCACGGTTGGTTTAATGATCTGCTGCTACGATCTTGACATTTGTAGTAATTTTTTTAACAAGGAGCCCCACATTTTTGTTTTGCACTGGATCTCAAAAATTAACTCGCTGGCCCTGATCTCACCACACAGATTATGAGTATAATGTTTAAAGGTACTTATTTTCCCTTAACCTCTCCCCAAATACACGGAAAAAGAAGTGGGCATGTCCCAGTTCTTGGGATCCACTGAAGGAACTTTCAGTGATAACTCTGACTGTATATAACTATGACCTTATGGTGTCCCTTTAGAACCTAACCTCTCACATAACATAGGGCTGCATTGTAAGAAAAATTGATTACATGGAACCTCATCTCTCCTTTTCTCCCCTGTTCATCTTAAGTTGCTAGGAAAGGCTCCTAGCATTCAGTAATGTGGGGGAGGGTAATATAAAGTGAAAGGAATAAAAATAATTTGGCTAATATACAAACTAGAAAATTGGTCACTGTATGTTCAAAATTCAACCACATCTTCTTGGCAGATGTTGTCATTTCTTTCTTTTTATCTTGAATAGAAAGCAGGTTTAGATCATTGACCACTTTTGACGGTTCATCAAACTGTTAATGCTTGATCAAGTTTCCAAAGCACCAAAACCAGTTTTTCCTCTGACTCCACTGAACTGAATTAAACGTAAAATTGGAGGTTATTTCTCGTCCCAATGGTTTGTACCCTCACATTTCGGATATAGCCCCAGACCCTGAACCCCCCACCTACTAAAATAAATAACATTCTTCATACCCTCCCTTCACCCTTCCTGGGCCCACTCCACTTACCTGAAAAAATCACTGCTGTTCCCTACAAAGCAAAAATGAGTGAGCCAGCAGTGAAGGCAACTCTGGGCAGGAAGTGGGAGGGGCCCAGGAGACTTGATGCTCAAAGAAGCACCTAAAGGAAGCCGAAGAGGTGATGGTTCAGAGCCCTGGCCAAGATGGTACTGCTCTTGATCCCATTACTGCCCATCAGGCAGCCCTTTCCCTTCACCACTCAGTTGTGTTTGAATAGTTTGATCTCCACTTTAAACCTACACTAGAAAACCAGTGAGGGAAGAGCTTCTGTAATAAGAGAAAAAACTTAGAAGATGTAGAAGAAAAGATGTAAAAATGCATCTTCAGATGGCGTGTTCAACATAAACAAACAAACCGAGTTAAAACAATGACTAAGTGGTAATACCATTCATACCTGATAGAGAAGTTGCACTTGAAGTTGCATTCGTTATGAATGAAATGCATGGAAGTGGACTGAAAAGTTACTCTCCAAACTGTTTAGGAGGCAAGTAGGGAGATGTTTCTGATTTAGTCTACATACATGCAAATGCCTTATTTTACAGTGAGAATGTACTCATTCAGGTGTCACTAATATAACTTCACAGCGCTGTACAATGATACCACTCTCCCCATTGTCTTCCCTCCTAAATATACCTCAGTGGCAGTAAGCTTTGACACTGCATAATATGTAACTTTCCCATCTCCCTTTTATTCATATTTTCAAAGTCGTGAAAACAAATGGCGCTTTCCATATAAATTACTTAAAAGCATAGATTTGCAAAAGGCCCTTATTATTTCTAAAAGATAATTTCATTTCAAATTCTATGGCATGTCACCATTATTTATGCTGGGTGGGAAAATACTAATCTTTACTTTTTTAAGGAGTTCCCTTCAAACCCAATTCTTAGAAAGTCAAAGTGTATGGTATTTACTTGCATTTTTAAGACGTGGTTTGCCCCTACCTGTGATTTCCGAGGGTTTCCTTCCTTTGATGACAAACTGAACAGGCCTTCTTTCCCAGAGTGGCACGGGACTTTAATGAGAACAACTTTGGAGAGTGAAAAATTGAGAGCCCTGAACATTTGGGGCTTTGAACTGCACAGTAGCTTTTCGCTGATGTCCTGAGGGTTCCAGTAAGAAGTACTGAAGGGAATGAAAGTTTTTCCACCCTGCAGTTGCCTTTTGGGGGATATTGATTTTTAAGCTGTTTCTTAAGAAACAAGACTCAGAAAGAAACTTCAAACCACCCCCCTTTCCTGTCCAAGAGATTCAGCCAGAAAAACCTGCTTCGGGAAGGAAATCTTAGAACATTTGCTTTAACCTAACTTGCAGTAA